CATCGGTCATCTCCACTTCCAAACAAGTTAAACTTTCTGAATAACAAGCTTTTAGCCTAGTACAACAGCCTTTCTTCAAGAAAATAGTTTTTGGCGCTCACTGCTTGAATACGAAAAGAATTTTCTCTTAAAGTAAAAAAAAATCACGTTTTACAATAGTTTCGATTTAATCTGGTACCCAGACCCTGCGTTTCTTCCGGTCTGTGGCGAGGGTGGCTAAGAACCTGGGAACCTGGTCTCATAAAATGGATTATGCCAAAGCCCTACGAGATTGGTTTTGATTTCTTTGCATACTCACTTGGAGAATACGCAGACGTTTTTCTCTAGTGTCGTCGGGCATATCACAGTCCAGAGCTGGACTTACTTTTATCGATGAGCGCGGCAAAGACGAGAAGCGATATCTCATTGACGATATCTACACCTATTTCAAAAAACGTTGACGGTCGGAGGTCTGCAGAAACAATGGTCAATCAAATTTTGTTCTAACGAGATCTTCATTACTTAGCGTGCGCTACTCAATCACGTCAGCGTGCACCATCCATTTTTCTAGATGCACGATCGCGAACGCTAATTAACCAATCGAAGCGCTCGTTATATCGTGGCTATGTTATAATATTTGATTGATGTGTTTTGTGTATTTGTATTTTCCCAGCTTGATGATGGACGCACGTTCCAAGTCAAGATCCGCTTTGATACAGATGTAGAACTGGCGTACTTTAAGAACGGTGGAATCCTCAACTACATGATACGACGCATGATCAAATAATATCACCGCTGGACGAACATACTGCTTTAAATCAATTCTGGACGACGACGAATAGATATTTCAGTGGACTCTTGGCAGAGGGAACTAATTCTTTTCCCTAACTGTCTCTCCGTGAGATGCGGAAACAGTTGTGGAAGGTGGTAGGGAGAGAGGGGGGGGGGGGGTATTTTTGATTCGGTCATTTCAGTCTCAAACTCTCTCGATCTTCTAATTTAATGATGGGCATACGGATTCTGAAAGTTGATAAGTTATTGCTGCTAGATATAGACCCCTTGCAGCACTTTGGAATGCAGCTCAATCTGGGGGACAAAACAAAAGGTTCAAATTCTCAGGAAATTGAAATTCTTTTGTCTTGGCCCCCACATCGAGCTGCTTTGACGTCACATGCAAGGGGTCCTATTGCTGTACGAGAGAGTGATTTTCAAGTGGGAATCCAAGGCACAATTGAAGTTAGTACCGCGTGCGTTTATCATGCGTTGATAACCATTCTTTTGGGAAGCCATTTCAAGGTTACGGCATGTCGTACCGTGTACGTGCTGTAAGTCAGTACGGTGCTTTTTCGACTCCTGCGAAACCAAGTTCAAAGTTGTTCTATATAGTAACTGTTTAGGCCCTCGAAAACCCACTCGAGGCCCAATCGAAGTACTGGAACTCTTCAGCGAAAATGTATTGAAAATGAAAATTATCGAAAAATCTGTTTTATTTTAACGTGCAATAAAAATTCCTTTTCTTTCTGGTAAAATTGATTTATGGTGCTAAATTACATCAAGAAAAATGATATACAAAATTCACAAAAGTTTTACCACTTATCCTTAATAATATTTAGCTTCGATGCCTCAAGAATATCACTTCACGAGAAAACATAGGTTCTATTGGTTGTCTATAATAATCTCTAATATTTAGCCTTTCTTTAATATCCAGTCGTAATCCTCAAGAGCGCTAATTCGCAAGAAAATCCACATAGGTTCTATTGGTTGTCCATAATAATCTCTAATATTTAGCCTTCCTCTAATATCCAGTCGTAATCCTCAAAAGATCCATCATTTCATAAAAAAATCCACATAGGTTCTATTGGTTGTCCATAATAATCTCTAATATTTAGCCTTCCTTTAATATCCAGTCGTAATCCTCAAGAGATCCATCATTTCACAAAAAAATCCACATATAGGTTCTATTGGTTGTCCATAATAATCTCTAATACTTAGCCTTTCCTCTAATATCCAGTCATAATCCTCAAGAGATCCATCATTTCACAAAAAAATCCACATAGGTTCTATTGGTTGTCCATAATAATCCTTAATATTTAGTGTCCCCCTACACACCGCTACAATCTGCGATAAATGTTCATCGTTAACCATGTCACTGTACTCCAGGACAAGGTTACGTAAAGCAGGGCTGTACGTTGTCGATCTGAATGGCAGGTCTTCTCCAAGACTCTTTGCTGTCTCCTAGCAACAGATAAAAAGGAAAATTAGAAACAAATTGACCATTTTTGAATAGTCCCATTCAGTTTCCTTTTTGAAACACCCTTGACAATTACATGTCTCTTCCATGGTAAGCTCACCGTTTGTCTCGCTTTGATGCAAAGGCACGGCTACCTTTCGAGATGGTGCCGGGAACTGTGAAGGGGACTATTCGACTATGTTCCTTGATTACAGGCTCATTGAATTAGAGTTTACCTTGTTTCAGCGTCAAAATATTCACAAACATCAACGGCAAAGTTAATTGCATTCGCTCTAAACAAACCAAGTAAATAGTTCATTTAAAGTCAGTACATTTGTACGGAAATCAGAGAACACAATTTATACCACGTGACGGCTAGCGCCGAAAAGGTGGATTCCACGGACCTTCACTGGAGCACATGAATATTCGGCACGAAATAGAGGATAACTCTGAACAACGGAGAACTCGAAAAAAACTGGGTCGAGTGTGCATTTCAATGCATTGTGGGAATGTTTTAGAATATGATAAATAGACGCCATCTTGGAAATACGTCCCTATTACCGTCCCACAATGCACTGCAATGCCAACTTTCTCCTTACCATATCACACGGCTGGATGTAAGTCTCTGTTGGTCCTTCATTCTGTTTGTTCTTCAGTATCCTACGTAGCATTATCTCTTGTTTTGTCCGCCATCTTGGTAGATCACTAATAATCCCAAAGAAAGGTTTGGTAGTCAAAGCTTTTAACCCAGACAGAACAGCCTCTTCCAGTCTCCCGCAGTGAGTCAACAGAGCCCCGACGCCCGTGGACGTGATGTCTGGGTTCCAGCTTATGTCAACGAAGGTAAGGTTGGGCATGCTGGTTACCATGGTAGTGACGACTTCGTCTGAAAAAGAGACGACCTTTGAATTTTAAAAAATGTTTTGAAGAGATATATACTATGTATTGCACACTCTTGCACACTCTTTGATTGCAACGATTTTTTTTACCATTCTCATGACCAAATGCAAATTTGAATGAGAAATAAAATTCGCAAAGAATTTTTTAGTAACGCGACGCCATCATGCTAAGACGGCCTCTAGTTACTTACCTGTAAGTTGACCAACGCTTGAAACATTGAGTGACGTCATAGACTGGCAGTAAATTGAGAGCGTTTCCATGGTGATTCTTGACGCAGTGCACTGACGTAGTGCAAAGCTTTGAAGCCCAGTGCATGACTCGGCCATTGCACATCGACCCCTGTCTGTCAACTCTTCACACCACGATAGGTCCAGATCACGTAACTATGGGAACCAAATAATTTATCACTATTTTGGGGTGTTTAGTCTTTAGCTATTACTGGAGGCAGGAACAATAGAGTCGTTCTACCCTGGGAAACAGAATTCTTTCTCATGTAAATCAGATTAGACAAGATTCAATTGTTCCTGCCTCCTGTCATGGCTGCCATCACGTGATGGTGCAAAGCCTCTATACAGAGAAAGATAGCTAATCATCTAACCTTGTCTCCACATTTCTCGGCCAATGCAAACATTGTGATATCAGTCACAGATGTCTCAGCCAAGGATAGGGTCTTAAGACGTGGACAATCAAGCATGGGGACCACACCTAGATCTGTGACAAAAGCCACGCCTCTCAGGTCGATGCTCTCGAGTAACGGACAGTGGACTGGTAAGGAGAGTAGGGATTGATCCCTCAATTTTTCACAGTCCGTCTGGGAAAAAATGTAAGGGTTATATATAATTGGATGGAAGGGAGAGGAAGCAATGGGATGGGATGGATGGATGAATGGACGGACGGACGGACGGACGGACGGAGGGACGGACGGATGGATGGATGGATAGGATGGATGGATGAAAAAGTGAATTCGAATGGATGAATGGAAGAGGGAGAAATGAATGGACAGCAGGACAAATGCATTGACAGACAAACAAATAATCTCACCAGTGTTAGGGAACGAAGTTCTGGCTGGTTTGATACCATAGCAACTAACGTCTCATCATCGAGCTCCGACCACGACACTGCAAAACTATTCAACGATCTATTCACCGAGAAGAAGAGCTTAAGACAAGCCACGCCGAGTGCTTTACCATGGAAATGTATACTAGTTATGTCCAGTGAACGCAAACGAGGCTTATAGGTCAGTGTCAGTATAAGTGGCTCCTTTCCTTCCTCAGAACGTTCCGTAACGTAGGGAACAGTAAGACTGTCATCCTTAGATGAAGAACTACTTTCAGCGTTTGTATTATAAAAAGAATCAATGCTTGATTCCGACTCGTTTTGTATCCTTCCACAGGAACTTTCTTCACCTCTGGAAGTTTTATGTCCTACATCAGGATTGCCTTCACAAGACAATTCGCTTCCTAGGGTATCTGACTTTTTATTCAGTTTAAAATAATTTTCTTCTTCGGAACCTCGAGTGTCGATACTTAAATTACTCTTCGTAGAAACAGTAACACTGACATCCAATATATTTGAGCCTGTTAACTTATTATCTGGTCCGGAAGCTTCCTTTGTTGAAATATTTGAAATATTTTGTTTTTCGAAGTCTTGAATATTGAGATTAGAATTTTGAACAGAAGCTGAAGAATTCTCGCCATCTAAAATATTTGGATACGTTTCCTTGTCATCTTGAGATAGCATTACTAAGTTTATTTGTTCTAAAGTTAAAGGATTGAGGCTATCAACTCTGCAAGTATCATTGGCAGTGTCATCAGCAGCAGCAACACTGTCATTAGCACCATTACCAACACCAACRGCAGCCTCGTGTGCATAATCATCATCGTCATCATCATCACCACCACCATCATCAGCAGCATCTCTACCACCACTACTACCACCACCACCATCAGCACCATCACAAACACCAACGACAGCCTCATCTGCATCATCATCATCATCATCGTCACCATCATCACCATCATCATCACCATCATCATCTTCAACTTTAAAACCATCAGCATCATCGCCATCACCACCATCATCATCATCTTCATCATCATCATCTGAGTCCATCAATTCAAACATGGCATTGCTAAGGCTAAGAAGGGCATCATTGAAGCCATGCAGAAGAGAAGAACTGTCTTCAGTGCGCCATTCTTGTAAGTTAAGAATATCGGTGAATAGATCATCAGCATCGTCCAATGATTCTCTCTGATTTCCATTATCGATGGCACAACTACCAACGTTACCACTACTCTCACTAATACCATCATGAGTAACAATGATCTTACTATGATCATCACCACCATCACCATCAGCAGCAGCAACACCACCACCATTATCAGCATCATCATCTCCTTGAACACCATCATCACCATCACCATCACAACTGCTAATATGACTCATAGAAATAGAAGGTTGTTGTAGCACCTTTGTATCATCATCATCATCATTATCTGCATCATCATCACCTTGAACACCATCATCACCATCACCATCACAACTGCTAATATGACTCGTAGAAATAGAAGGTTGTTGTAGCACCTTTGTATCATCATCATCATCATCTGCATCATCATTACCTTGAACACCATCATCACCATCACCATCACGACTGCTAATATGACTCGTAGAAATTGAAGGTTGTTGTAGCACCTTTGTATCATCATCATCATCATCATCAGTTGAGTCCAAGTTCACCAGGGCACTAGTAAGACAAGATATTGCATCACCAAATACCGATGACACAGAATTGACATGTGATGATTTATGCACATCACCCCACATACTATCAAACAGCTCATCATTATCACTACAAGAGTCATCATCTCCGACTTGTTGCCATGCCAACATCCATTCCTCTTCCAATACCTTTAAATCTGATGACTTTGGAGGTCTATGCCTATTGGCTGCAAGAGTACTGGCCAAAGGAAGACCAACAGTGGGAAAACTGAGTGACATTAAATGAATATTATCAGTTTGACTATTATCAGCTTGACTATTCAGAAAATCAACCTCACTTTTCATATCTGTCTTATTTAAATTCAAGTTTTCATTTTCTTCCTCTAACGTGGTTGTTTCAGTCTCCATTGCCTCCTTCCTTGGGAAAATATTTTCTTGAAGTTCATCCTTTCCGTAACTGTCCTGACACCTCACAGGTGTTGAAACCACAAATTCTGTAATTTGACCTTCTGCGGTATCTGAAGTTCCCACACTTTTAGTTTCTGCAATTTTTCCATTTTCATTCAAATCATACTCATATTCCTCAGCATTTGAATCTTCACACTTTTTAAAGATTTCTGTGCTATCAATTTCCGTGATTCCCATTTTTTCATCGTCCACTTTTTCCCCACTTCCATTCAAATGTTTCATATCATCTTCAGCATTCCAACATTCAGAATTTTCTTTTTCTTTAGTAAAGATTTTCGTACTCTCTAGATTTGTAGCTTTTACTTCTTTCTCAATTCTTTCACTTTCTCCACTCTTGCTTGCAGAAAAATCAACCTTCTCGAAATTAGATTTTCCAGAAGTACTTGAATCTTTCATATGAAGATCTGCGTCATAGTATGTACCATTGGTAGATTTAACTGCAGGAAAAGAGTTCCGTAAATGCTCATCTTTTTCTAGGTATGAAGATTGGTTAACACCAGCTTTATTGCTTTTTACAGATATGTCTTGATTTTCTTGATCCAATTCTTCATCATTATCATTATCACTACCACTATCTTCATTCTCTGTCAGTGAAGAAAGAGCTCCTAAATAAGATGAATCAACTTCTTGAACAAACTGAAATGCAGCTTGAGGACTCAATCCGGCTAGGTACAATAATGCAATACAACCCAATCCAGTCCATGAGATGTTGACTGATGTTAACGTTGGTCCACAAAGAGCTACTAGATTTTTTATTGCAGCACTTGTAATTGATTGACAGCCTGAGAGGTCAACACTCGTAAGGTTTTTGCCTCCTTGGAGAGCACGCTGGGATAGCTTGGGGGGAGACTTGGAGGATTTGTTCGGTGGAGAAGATGATGACATGGCAAAGGCTTTGTCAGTGATGTTGTTGCAGCTGGAGATATTGAGGTGTTCTAGTCCTGGACAACACATTAGGATTATCTATGAAAATTAATGAACAAATAATAATTGAATATGAGATGATGGAAGATATCAATCATAATCATGTATCATCATCATGTATCATCATGTATCATCATCATGTATCATCATCATGTATCATCATCATGTACAGTATCATCATCATGTATCATCATCATGTACTATCATCATGTATCATCATCATGTATCATCATGTATCATCATCATGTATCATTTAAATCATCATCACCATGTAGTATCATAACATAATGATAACACCATCATCACTGCATAAAATTATCATCATCATCAGTATTAGCCTGGCTAGTATCTTAGTATCTTATTACATCCTACCTGTACTCCATCATCTGTCATTATATTGCAGTCTTCAAAAGACAAGTGAGTGATATTAGGAGCATTGTCCTTCAAGCAGCAGTAGAGAACGGGCCGCAGAAGATTCTCACAGGAACTGAAGTCAATGTAGGTCAGATGACTACATCTGTATTCATAACAAAAATATATTATTAATGACTGATAAATAATTATAAAAAATGTGATTGATTTCCATGCATTTTGCATCTGGAAATATCTGGATCACAAAAACAAGACAAGCATTGTATATGCTGCTAATATACACTATCTTTCACCACTGAGGTTCCAAAGGTTTGGGTTGCTGGTTTGAGCCCTGTGGTCACCATATGTAAATTGATTATTTTTGACGTGTTGTTCTCTCCTATGCTACGAGGGTTTTCTCTGGGTTTCCAGTTTCCCTCCCTCCGTAAAAATCAACATCTGAGTTGAGGGTTGTGTGCATAGAACATTGAATGTGTAGTTCCAGAAAATATTCATACCCCCACTACAAAGGGAATTTGTAAAAGGACCCCCCTACCTCCAGGAACTTTCAATTGTCTTCCAAACAAACTCTGAAATTTTGTACTTTCTCTGACCAATTCCATCTGTGGGTGAACTATGAATATTTTCTGGGACTATATACACAATGTAGTAGTAGTGTGTGTAAGTGAAAAGTGCGAAAACGCTATCTAGAACGACTAGAAACTTAACTAAAGGGATTTTTATTTAAGCTGTAACTTTAAGTGAGTTATAAAAAACAGACAGTCAACCTTTCTTACTTGGTTATTGTTTCAATAACTCCATCACAAGTCAATGAACTACAGTCCTTCAACTTCAGGTGCCTCAGATGTTCTGGAGCAAGAACACAAAGTAACTCGTCAGTCAATTCCTTTGGAAACAACTCTGCCACCAACAACAAGATTTCTTCGCTCAAACAAGTTCCTTTTGTTGTCTTCAGCGTTTCTAACAGCAGCTGTCGCTCTATGCAATCCGTAGGCCTGCAGACTAGGGTCCTTACGATGATAGTCTGGGCGACAGATCGCAAGGAGGGAGGTTGCATCTTAAAGAAGAAAGTTTTTTATATTTAGTATGAATTTGTTTGTTTATCCGCCATCTTGGTTTTTGCGGAGAAACATAGGTTGATACTTTATTGGTTCATTGAAATAGTGTCTTGTACCATATATCCAAATGTACACCAAGTATGTCGCCTGAACTGCTAAGGTTTCTGATTTACCATCGAAAAAATACGCTTTCTGTGAGACTTCTTACTATCTGTTGGTGTTATCCGTGTGCAACTATCAATGCACGATACGTCCACGTGTTGCAATTGTCTCTTCATTGAGCACTAAAAATATTACTACGGTTTATACCTTAGTTCCTATCTTGGAGCCTTTGTACTATCTACTGATGATAACGATGATAAGAATGTAAGCGGAAGGTGTGTGGTCCGGCTAGGCATTCAGGACATGGTCCTGCGTAGTCTGTTAAGGGCGGAGGCGTGGTGGCCTCAGGAATTGGCCGTCAGGTCTGAAGTACATACGACGCCACAGCTCTGCAGGTGTCTCGGTGTATGGCTTGTAGCGCTAAAAATTTTAGATCTTTCTTGTTTGTTTTATTCTATCTTATAATAAAATAAATAATAGTATTTTTTATTTATTTGCTAAGGTGGTAGAAAAACATGATAAGCAACATATTGCTTGGGCTGCCTGTGATTGTATTTGCAAAAGAAATAAAATTTGCAAAAAATAATTCAGCTAGTTCAAGCGATTAAAAAAATCAAATCGCAGAATTGACAAAAAGTCACAATGTCCCTCCCCTCCCTTAGTAATATGCTAAATACCAAGATGCTTTGCTGTCTCGCAATGTTTATCAACGCATGCGCTTTGTAGCATAACCGCCATTAGTTTCAGCGTCGGTTTCGATTAGCAACGAACACAAACCTACACGAGAATTTGACCACCTTGATTTAAATACGATTTACTGACGATCTAAACCTCTGATTTTGAAGATATTCACAAGTTAGAATAACCTGAGACTGGTCTAAAGGTCTACGATGAGTTTAGCGTTCAAGACTCCCGATTATGGAAAAAATCGGAGCTCAAAAAGCAAGAAAAAAGAACTCGGTGAAGAACAGAAACAAGAGATCAAAGAAGCGTTCAATCTTTTTGATACAGACAAAGATCAAGCTATAGATTATCATGAATTGAAGGTAAAACTACTTTAATATAACTATATTTTATTCATCTGTGTCGTTGTAATGTGGGAGTTGTAGCGTGCTTGGATTTGAAAGCTGCTAATTGTTCACGTTCTCGAAACAGTTGGTTCCTTTTGTTAGCTAAATGACACTAGTTGTCTCCTTTGTATCTAACACTTTGCGTCTTCAAAGGAGAGTTTAATAGACTCCCTACTACTTTACAATTATCACTAGCTATTACTTTCAACAGCACTCAAGAAATAATTGCTAAAAATCGTCTTTAAATTCATTTTTGAAGTGATTTCACAACGAAAATAACTTAGGATATTTCTTTAATTAGCTTAAGTATTTGATTTTGAGTGATTACTTTCGAAATTTTAATCCTTTCTGTGTCAAAATCCTTGACACTGCCCTACACATATTCACCTTTGCGTAAATACGTTCGAAAAATACTAAATTTGCTGTTTTTTGGGGAAGCACTTAGCTAACAGTAGAGGAAGAGTTCTTTTTTTCAACAACTATTTGGTTGTGGTTGGAGACGTTGTTTGTTTAGATACAGGTCTGCTTTTTGCTTTTGTTCGTGGTTTTAATTGTTGTGGAGCTTGTGCTCATTTGTTATTCTGAGTAGGGGGATTACTTTAAAACTTCAGCTAAGTTTGAAGATTTTATAAACTTCTTATCATACTCTGTCTGGATATATCTGTGGAACTACTAATGTATTATGATGATGGTTCTTTAATCTATAACTCATTTCGTGTTATGTAATAGGAGAAAGATTTGTTGTATAGATGCTGAACTAGACTCTGCCATGCATTGACCATTTTCTTAACATTAGTTCATTTTTTAAAACAACATAAAACATACGAGCAAAGTCATATTATGCTGTGCACAGTTTTGAAAAATCTTTTTAAACCACCTAGCTTGTAATCCTGAATAAAATAATGCTTTGTGTACAGTATAGTCAGTTTGCCAAAGACACAGAAGTAATCATGTAAGTTTTTGAAACTTCTGAAATGTGTACATGCATAGTGGGGTAAATGTGTTCATACAACTTGATTAATCTGTCCAAATTTTTGTATGCATAGGAATATAAAATGTGCATGCAATTATGTCTTTGTAGTGTAATATAAACACATTAGGAGTTGTAGAGGAAGAGAGTTATAGAACTCACAGATGGTATCTCAAAATGACCTCTGGGCTTATCTAAGTCAGGGCACGGCTAACTCACAGATCGAACCCTGAAACAACCTCTGGACTGAACTAAGTCAGGGCATGGCTAACTCACAGATAGAACACTGAAACAACCTCTGGGCTTGTCTAAGTCAGGGTACGGCTAACTCGCGGATCGAACCCTGAAACGACCTCTGGGCTGACCTAAGTCAGGGCATAGCTAACTCACAGATAGAACACTGAAACAACCTCTGTGCTGATCTAAGTCAGGACATGGCTAACTTACAGATAGAAACCCTGAAACAACCTCTGGGCTGATCTAAGTCAGGGCATGGCTAACTCACAGATTGAACCCTGAAACAACCTTTGGGCTGATCTAAGTCAGGGCATGGCTAACTCACAGATTGAACCCTGGAACAACCTCTGGGCTGATCTAAGTCAGGGCATGGCTAACTCACAGATTGAACCCTGAAACAACCTTTGGGCTGATCTAAGTCAGGGCATGGCTAATTACTCACAGATAGAACCCTGAAACAAGCTCTGGGCTTATCTAAGTCAGGGCACTGCTAACTCATGGATGGAACCCTGAAACGACCTCTGGGCTGATCTACTGTAAATCAGGGCAAGCAGCTAACTCACAGATAGAACCCTGAAACAACCTTTGGGCTGACCTAAGTCAGGGCACAGCTATCTTACAGATCAAATCCTGAAACAACTTCTACAGTATTAAGTTAGAGCATGGCTAATTACCAACAGATGGAACACAGTAGCACGGCACCTTATTGTGAGGAAGCAGTGTCTTTCCTTAATGGTTAATTAGAGGGTGAGCTTTGTTAGCTGGTGTATTGACTTTACAGAGAGATCTTATGCAGATTATCAAGTTTATTACTTAGTAGCTTTGAGGCTTTCGCATTCAGACATTTTATCCGTAATCTTACACTTAATTTAACTATATCAATTGATTTTAGTTTCGATTCCTGCTCTATTTTCTTATGATATTCTATTCTTTTCTTACGTGGAACCAGGTTGCGATGAGAGCTCTAGGATTTGATGTAAAGAAAGCTGATGTTCTAAAAATAATGAAGGACTATGACCGGGAATCAACAGGAAAAATAGCGTTTGATGATTTCAATGAAGTCAGTAAGTGAACAGTAATTGTAAAACATTAGTGCATGTGTTAAAAAGCATTGTGTTAGCAGGTTCAAGTCTTGCCTGGCTTGGTGTTGTATGTGAGGAACATTGTTTGTTTTTTTTTTTGTTCTCTCCTGTGCTTCAAGGGTTTTCTTTGGTTTTCCTTCTTCTAAAAAAAATACAATTGGAATTTGAGCAACTGTCGTGGAAATACCACTGTCAAATCCTATTCATTCATTTGTTCATCCTTTCTCTCTCTCATTTATTCATTTATTTGTCCATTTTCTCTTAGATTGATTGATTGATTTATACATCTCATCTTATTTATTGTTCTGACTGAATGTTAGACTTTGGAGGTCCTCTGAAAAAGAATCCATAAAGATACTTCTGAAACCCCACCTCATAATTTCATCTGCTCATACAGGCACTCACTCCTTAATTCCTTTACTAATAGACGACTTGCACTAACAGGTCACGTGATCCTCCCCCCCCCCCCTATTAAAACGAGCAGTTTTGTCAAAATAAAAAACAGAAATGAAAAGAGCATATAGGCATTAGTAGGGAGGCGGAGTTTCAGCTCATAATGAGCGAAACAGAAGAAATGGCATTAGATATAAATATGAATGTTTTATAAGGATTTGTATGGTGAAATGCGCTGGATGTCAAAAGCTTACCAGCCAACACTTTTCCCATACAAATCCTTGTAAAATATTTGATTCTATATTTAATGTCATTTCTCCTATAGTCAACATTTTGAGCTGAAACTTCGCTGTCTCACTAAAGTTGAGGTGCTCTTTTCATTTTAAGTGGCTGGGGTCACATGACCCGTGAGTGCAAGTTGTCTATTCTTTCATTCTCCGACTTATTTATTCACTTACCCACTATTTTCATGTAATTAATGATAAATTTATAATCATAATTATACACCTTCTCATTAATCCCATATAGGTAACTGTCCAATGATTTTCTTAATTGGACAGGTCTTGTTGATATGGGATTAATTAGGCAGCTATATAACTAATAGGTAATGGGATTTCATGCTCCCCAATCAAGAAATAATTAGAATCGAAAAATTCCTCTGACTGCCAAATAGGACTCGGCCTACGGCCTCATCCAATTTTGTCAGTCCTCTGAATTTCCCTCGTCCAATTATTTCTTAATTGGACATCATGGAGTCCTATTACATATACTAATAATACAATAAATTATATGAATAATAATTTTTTTTGAATGATATTCTCAGTGACTGACTGGATGTTAGATAGAGACCCCCAAGAAGAGGTATTCAAAGCATTTAGATTATTCGACGATGATGACAGTGGTAAAATCAGTATAAGAAATTTACGCAGAGTTGCTCGAGAGCTGGGTGAAAACATGACAGATGAGGAACTCAGAGCCATGATTGATGAATTCGACAAAGACGGCGATGGAGAAAGTGAGTTATGAAAGTCTTCAAGTATTTATAAATTTTATTGATCCCTGAATTAAACAATATCTGAGTTGGTCTGAGTCAGGGCATGGCTAACTCACAGATTGAACCCTGAAACAACCTCT